CTATACCTTTTTCTATCTAACATTAGCAATTTAATGATAAAACCATTTATTACCTTTCTAATCTAATGTATTCAAAACTTTACTTTGATTAGAGTAGACCTCTTAATTAAAGTAAAGAAATAACTTTTTCTAAATTATGTTAAATTAAATAAATGGTAATGATTAATTTACTCAAACAATTAATTTTTTTTTTAGTATTTTACACATTCATACTTTGTGTTTAATTATATTATTATATTACTTATCGATAATATTTTTTATTTTTTCTGTAATTTGTTTTTTAAAAATTCATTAAATTTTTTTTCGAGCCTTAGTAAAGTAGAGAAAAAAATAAGCTAATAAATAATTATTAAAATTGTAGTATTTTTATATATTATTTTTTATTTTTATATATATTATTTTATATATTTTAAATTGATATAAATAACATTCATAAAAATATATATGTAACATAATCACAAAAAAATATATCATTCAAAACATAATATTCTACTGTTATCATAGATTGAAAATTGAAGATATAGACAAGGAACAATTTTAAATAAATTAGCTGTAAAACCTCCGTAAAATCCTTTCATACCCTCCCTTTAATAAATTATATTTATACAATTAAAAAGACCTTTATATTATTTTTCAAATCCTGCAATTCCACTCATCATATTTCTTCTCCTATTTTTATATATTAATTAAAAATAAAATAAAGTAAAAAAACTTAATTGTATCAAAAGGATACGTAATTAAAGAAGAAATAAGTGCGGAAACTCCTGCTACTCCAAAATAATAAATAAAAGTGTTAACTTCAAATTTTTAAGTATTAGTTGGATATTGAGATTTAATTAAGTCTTGTAAAGTGTAAGCAATTACAAGGTAAGGCATAATACATATATTTGTTATAAAAAATCCTTTATAAAGTTATTATATTCCTCCCTTTTTAAATATTTTATATAAACATTGAGAAAATCCATTAAATTAATTAGGGTAAAAATATTTTTTTTAATCACAGATTTATCTCATCCTTACTGTTTCAAAAGGATATATAGCTAATTAAATAAAAAATACAGAGCAAACACCCAGTAATAAATTCCTCAATAATAAATCATATCCCTTTTTATATTTAAAAAAAAATATTTAATAAAAAAATATAATTTTAATGGAAGTAATAAATGTTAGTTAAGTTAAGCTTTATTTCTTTTTTACGTAAAATTTACATAGTATTATTTATCTTTTTAAGATAAAAAAACATCTTTAAAATGGTTGTATGCTGCGAATTTTAAAAAATTTTAAGGAATTACTCTATAGATATTTGTTAAGTTTCCTCTCCAAAAAGAAGCTAAACCCTATTCTTTATAAATTCCTAATTTTTAAATAATAAATATAATTATATAAATTTTTTTATTAAAAATTATTAAAAGATACTCTAAAATGCTTCTGATGTAGATTAATATCTTAATTAATCATTAATAATACTGTTTTATGATTACATTAATATTTTTACCCTTTCTAAAGGTGCAAATATAGTTCTAGATATAGAATGAGCTATAAAAGAAGTGTAACAGTATCTCCATAAGGTATGCTTTTATTAAAATGCAAAGTATCTATCATTAATTGTATCAATAATCATAACTTAAAATTTTTAATTAAGTAAAAAATCTAATATAAATTAAAATATTAATATATAAAAATATTTTTGCAATTAAAATACTAAAATATCTTATACAATAAATTTTGTGATTGTTATCATATATAAAACAGAAATTATTGGTTTTTTTTTTCCTCGAAAGATTACACTAGGGAGGGAAATCTATTATTAAGGCATAAAATTGTTTTAATAGAAAATAAATTATTATTAGTTGTTTTATAAATATTGTTTATAATTATACTATATATTATTATTTTTTTAACTTATTATTCAAAAAAAATCATTATTTTAAATACATAGTTCTAAATAAATTTTATTTTATTTTGAATAAAATATTAATATCTTAATTAGTTATTCAATTTTAAAATTATTTCTAGAATTTATTTAATTTTTTTGTAAAAATAATTATATAGATTATATATAATAAAACATAATATGTATTATATAAATAAATAATTTTAAGTAAATAAACTAAACTTTAAATATAATAAGTTAATTTTCATTTGATTAAAATTGCTACTAAAATTTTAAAATCTGATAATTAATTAAAATTCAAGGGATTTTTTTTAAATTTTTATTTGATTTACAAAAAATGATAATTTATATTTATTTTCTGTTTAAATTTAAAAATTATTTTTTTATGGTTATGAATTGATTTTTTTGAATGGCAACTAATGTAGATAGATATTCGACTTTTTTTGTTTAAAAGTTTTAATAAAAAAAAATATATTTGTTTATTTCTTTGTGTAAATTCGGTTATAAAGTTTCATATAAATGCAATCTTTTATTGTTAAATATATTTTTAAAAAATAATTATTTTTATTTTATTTTATATATTTAAATATAATTAATTATTATATATTTTTTAGTTATCATATTTATGATTTTATATTTGATATAAAATAAAAAATTCGTTTATTAGTTTAGATTCTTAGATAAATAATAATGAATTTAATATATCATATTAATTAATATAATCTTATATAAAGAAAGATTACAAACAGAAATTATAATTCAATGCAAGTGATATGAAATATAAATTATCGCAATAATATTCATTATTATAAATACAAATTATTTTAATAACAATATATGAAAATATAAAATTTCTATTATTTTAAAAAAATTAATTTTCGGTGAAAACTATTATATATAGTAGTAGATTTATGAAAATAAAACTAATTTAAAGAAAAAAAAAAAATTGATTATAATTTTAAACTAAACAAATATTTAATTTTATAAATTAAAATTTTTTCAAATAATTATTGATAAATTTAATTCTATATAAAAAAAAGTCTTTAAACTTATTTTATTTTATATAGATATTAATATTTTTATTAGCTTTTATAAAAAAAAAATTATACTTTATACTTTTAAAATTTTTTTGAAATTTCAAATTTATTATAAAATACAAATAATTATTAAGAAATATTTAATAAAGATAATGTATGAAATTGAAAACTGGAAATAGAAAAGTATAATTTGAATTAATAATATGCGAAAAATCAGAAAAAAATAATATAAATGGGAAAGTTGAAATAAAAAAGTGTAATTTAATAACTAAGTTTTAAGTTGATTTTATAAATAATATTATTTTGCATTTTCCTTGTAATTATGTTAATATAATAGATAATTTTTTTGTAAAATAAACATAAAAGTTTAAGATAATAAACTTTCTAGTTTATAACTTTTTATATAAAGAAAATATATAATAATTAAAAAAATTATTTTTATTGTAATAATTATATTTATTTTTATTTTATATAAATATAAAATTTATTGTTATTTAATTATATAAATTTCGATTTATAATTAATATAATTTTTTTTTCTTTCAAACTTATTTTCTTTCCTCAAATTTTTATATTAGCATAACCTATTAATTTTTTTTTAATAAGTTTGTATATATTTCTTATTTATATAATATTAAGAATATTTTTATTTTTTATCATCTATTTTTATATATTATGTTAATTGAATTTTTACATTTATTTTATCAAATAATTAAATAAATAATATAAAAAATTCAAGAGTTTCAAAAATAATAATAAAATAAAATACAAATAAATAATTAAATAAAGAAAATAATATGGAAGGCGAAGATGTAAAATATATTAAATCAAATGCATTTCAAAAATATATAAATAAATAAAATTTATAAAGAATATACAAAAATTAATATTTAAAACTCATTTTTAAAATATAGTTAACCATATAGCATATACCTAAAAATGGGCAATATAAATAAGTAGTATCAAAAGTTGTTCAAAAAGATGAAAAAGGTGAAGTAATAAAATCTTATGAAGTAAAAATACAAGTGTATTTACCATTAAGATCTAAGGCTTTTTTAGGGGGATTTAAAAGCATAAAAACGGGTTTATAATATCATCATGCGTTTGCTTAAACAGATTAAAAATATAGAGAACATAAATTGAAATATCACAGAGAAGTAAATAATAAATAAATAAAAAATATATATTTAAACCATAAATAGTCTCAAACATATGAATACTCAACTAAATCTTCGAAAATGTCACGTGAAATGGGTACTTAAATGGAAAGAGAGGGAATATATATATGTTAAAGAAAAGATTAAGAAAAAGAAGCATAAGCATATTTTCATTCAAATATGTGGGAAGAAAGAAGAGAAGAGGCAGCTCTTTATATATAAAGAAAAGTTAGAGGATGGAGAGCTCGTAGAAGAACAAACAAACTAAAAAAATTGAAAGAAGAAAAAAGAAGAGAACAATTATAAAAGGAAGAAGAATATAGAAGAAAAGAAGAGGCAAAACACAAAAAAGAAATAGAAAGAAGGACACATCCTAGAACAAAAGATGATTTTAACATTTTATATGAAGAATTAGAAGTTTTTTATTTTAAAAAATATAATTATTAATATATTTTTTATTTTAAAACAAACAAACAAAAGTTATGGAGGACAAATGAAATTTAAAAAATAAAAGATAATACTTCTATATCTGAATAAGAAAAAAAAACTCTTTTAAAGCAAATACTTGATAAAGAAACAGACTTATTATAAACAATAGATAGATTAAAAATAATAGCTGCGAAAGAAAATAAGGGAGAAAAAATAAACAAATTCCTTAAACAAATGAGTGATCCTAAAAAATGGTTAAGAAGTGATGGAAGATATACTGAAGTACATACACCTTTCACTATTAGAGCTAAAGAGCTAATGGATATATATAATGGACTCAAGTTAAAAAATATTACTATTGATGAAAGATTAGATATATTATTAAATACTAAATGGACTGTTAAAGAATGGGAATGTAATATTACTAGAGAAATTGTTGAGTTAATTGATAGAGAAGCTGATATGCTAAATAGGGGAAGGCCTGAAAATTCTTTAGAAGGGCTAAGGATTAGATTGTGTAATTTATTCCTTCAATTTATTGAAACTCCTGAATTTAACCCTGAAGCTGCTAGGTTCTAAAAAATTCCTTATGAAATATTAGTAAGTACTCAAGCTTATTAGAATTAAAAATGATATATATTTATCTCTATTTTTTAGATTATTAATATATAATAATTATATGTTTTGCCTTTTTATTATATAGATCTCAAATTTAATATTAATTTATATATTTTTTGGTTTTGTATTAAATATTTATTTAAAAATTAATAATAATAAATTCTCGTATTAAATTCGATACTAAAAAATTAAGTAACTATCAATATTCCATTTGAGCATACAGGAAAAAAATTATAATTTTTTCCAAAATTCAACTTCTTTAATAAGGTATTTAAAAGGGAATTTTTTTTTTTTTTAATTGTTAAAAATTTTGAAATTTATATATAAATTAGTCATTTGGGAATATATTTTTTAAGGAGAAAGTTTACTAATTTGTATTGTAAAAGAAAATATATATTAATGATATGTTTAAAATTAATGTTTTAATTAACAGTAAGTAGTAAATACAAAAATAATTTTTTGAAATGAAAATAAAAGATTAATTTTACTCAAACAAAAATGAAAGGAAACAAAAAAAATCAGATTTTCAAAAATTTAGAAACGAAAAATAATTAATTTTTTTCTACAAAAAAAACCATAATTAGAATTTATAATTTTTTAATTAATTTAAAAATGATTAATAAATAAAATAAATATTGTATTTTTAGATTAATATATTGAATTTACTTTTTTAAAAAAATTGAGTTTATTAAAATGGAATAAAATATATTTTAATATTTTATTTTATTTTTTAAAAAAAGTTGATTATTTATAATTATTGCATAATTAAGTTTACTTGTATTAATTATCATTATTTATTTTGTTTTAATTAGATAGCTTTGTATTATTTTAGAATTTTATAAATTAAAATAGTATATAAAATTTCCCAAAATAAATAAATTAATAGTATTCCGTAAAAAGAAAACCTATTTATGTATGATTTTTTTTTCGAGGGGGTGAATAAATAATAATTAAAATATTAAAAATTATTTGATAAATTGTATATAAAAATTTTAAAAAGAAAATATTAATTTTTAATGAATAATAAATTTGGAATTTTTTTTATGTATATCAATAGTTTTTTCAGATTGTCAAATATAATATTAAATTTTAATTTCGTCAATATTATAAAGAAAATTTCAAATTAATATATCTATTTTTACGATAGCAAATAAAATCGACATAATTGTTCTTATTTTAATAATAGTAATTTAATTCTAAAAGAAAAATAATATTTAGTTATCATAAAATACATTTAGGTATAAGTAAAGATAAATACAAAATAGTTATCATAACTTTTAGAGAAAAATAAGATAAAATGCTATTTTCCCAAAAAATAAAAATATATGTATGTTTAATTTTAATTTATAAAGGTTTTATAAGAATATTTATTTCGATTAATAATATTATTCTTTTTTTTTATATATCAATCAAAAAGGTAATTGTACCGAATAAATATAGAAATATTATATCTTATTTATATTTTTTTAGACCTGAATTTATTTTATTCTGAGTGGTTTATAAACATTATATATATTTACTTTTTTATTACTTAAGAAAAAAAATTGTAAGACTTTGAAAAAAATTTAAACAATTTTAAAAAAATAAATAGTTAAATTTTATCATTTTGATACCGAAACAATCAATAGTAAAGAAAATTAAAAATTTTAAAACCGTTTTTCTTAATGAAAAAGTTTGTTAAGTATTTGTTTTCCAAAAATTTATTTTAAGTGCCAAAAAATTAGTTTGATTGTATTTGGTACAAAAATTAAGGAATCACAATTATATATGTAATTTAATATAATTAAAAGTTTAGTATTAATATTTCGATTTAAATACTAAACTAAAAAAATTGATTGCTGCTTTTTAATTAAGTAAAATTAATTCAGACATAGATAAATTATTTAAAATTATAGGAAACTTAGTTATTCAAGTTTAATTTTTTTAATACTTTAATAAACACTTATTATAAATTATTGTTAAATATATAATTTATGTTATAAAATTATAAAATAAGCATTTATTATTTAATAATATAAATTTAATATTTTTATTCAAATTTATTTTATTTTTACAATATTTATTGAATTAAACATTAATTTTAAATTACTATTTAAAAAATGAATCAAATATAAAATAGTATTTTAGTTTAAAGAAAATAATCTAACTAGCATAAAGTAGAAAGAATGCAATAAATAAAGAATAGCAATATTTTAAATAATAAACAAAACAATAATCTTGATAAAAATTTATAGTAAATACTTAAAAAGCGTTCTTAAGATGATGAGGAAGAAAAAATATAGTATATGCAAGAAAAGCATTTGATTTTTTTAAGATCAGTTTATCCCAAATACAATAAAATACCTTTAAAAATATAAAATATAATGAGATATTAAGATCTATTTAAAGAAATGTCTTTGCAGCAAAAAAAAAAAGCTTACTAAGAATTAAATTAAATTGCATAATAATTAGGTTTAAATGAAAAAGATATATAAAATAATTGTGAAGTTCTTCAATAGATGATTTTGACAATTTTAGAAGGTTAATATGATAAAGAAACAGATCCTTAAAATAAAGTTGTTTATTATAATAAAAACAACTATAAAGTTTAAGATAAACATCCTTTTTTTAACAAATTTATTTAATTTATAAGTGAAAAAGAAATCGAAAAAACTTGTTAATTTTAAAAATATTAAAAAATTTCTATTAGTCTTTTATAAAATAATGTTGATAATAATAATACTTAGAATAATAGTGATGATAAAAAGAATAATGATGAAAACTCTTAAAGCAAAGAAAGTGAATAATCTAGCTTTTTAAAAAAATTAAAAGGAAAAAAAAATTCTAATTCTTCAAACATTTCTAAAAATTCTAAATCATCTTCTATGAGTGAAAGCAAAAATAGAAATCATTCAAAAAAAATAAAAATTTAGAATTGCTAACTATTCAAGATCTTGCTAATGAAAAGTATTATTTATACTTAAGTAATTAAATTTATAAATAAAATATTATATAAATAAAAGGTACAATAAATTATATAATCATTTAAAATAAATATAACGTTAAAAATATGACATAAATTACTATGAAAATGCAACTACATAACAAAAACGTTAACTTTTGATTGAAAACATTTATTATTATGAAGTATTTTTATATATAAATACCCTTTAATATTTTACTTTCTATTTATATAAGGATATATATGGAAAAGATATTGAAGAACTTTATAAAAATTCTCAAAATTTATTGTGTAATAAAAAAGAAGACCCTTTTTAAGTTGCTGAAGCAATTGTTCTTTTAAAAGTTTATGATTTTGAAAATTTATATTGGTTTGGAAGGGTTTATAATTGTATAGAATTACCTCCTAATTGGATAACTTTATAAGGCGAATAAAAAATATATAAAAATATTATAAATAATTTAGCAATTTAATTACATCCATGCTACGGATATTTAAAAAAAATAATTAATAAGCAATACCAATTTTTAAGAGAAGGCAAAATAACTAAAGTTAATAGTTTAATATATACATATCATGAAAATGAAGAATAAAATACATGTAAAATGTACATATAATTTATTTCTTTAAAAAAATTATTAATAAATATTAATAATTATGATTTTTTTAATAAAAAAAAGAAATTATTAATATAAATCATAACATTTAATGACTTTTGTAAATTATTTAGAAAAAGAATATATATTAGATATAAATATAATTATTTCAGATATCTTAAACTAAAAAACAAAGAACAAAATTCAAGACTAAATATTTTTAAAAGAAAAAGATAACTACATAAATCTAATAACATACTCAAATAAAACGGAAAAAATAAGCGAAAATATAATTGATGATCATCTTATAGTTATATGTAATGAACTTGATATAAAGCTTCCTGAAGAAATACATTTATTAGCAATTGTTATTGAGTATTTAAAATATTATGAAACTTAAGTTGATAATATTGAGAAATTTTAATGGGTTTTTAGATATAATATAGATTCTTATAAATATTATTGGTATTGTAAAGAATAAGAGTTGACTTCTGATGTCTTTCCTTATTTAAAAGATTTAGGATAAATAATTGATTATTATTAATAAATTATTGATTTAGAATCATAAATGTATAAACTTAAAACTAATGTTATTGAAAATATTCGATAATTTATTTCTGGAATTAATTAAGACAATTAATTAGATATTTTTGATAAATTAAAAAATGAAGCATAATCTTTTGTTAAATATTATATATACTAATATAAAAAATAAAATTAATTATATGAATTCGATACCATTCTAGATAATCCTAACGAAAGTTATAGAAATTTCTTAATTTAATAGGTAGCTTTTATATTTTTATAGTAATTTTATTTTTAAAAAATAGTAAAATATTGACATTTATTAACTTAAATATATAAATGAATATTTAAAAGGTGATAAAAAAATTGTTAAAGATATAAAAGATTAGCTTCTGTTTTGGTGGCCTTATTAAATGGTTTTAAAAAAAGTTTTGAACAGAAAAAAAAGTTAATAAGAGTTTTTTTATACAAAGTCTTCATCATATTTATTATCTAATAAATAATTTTTAAAAAATACATTTTCTAAACAGGAATATGACTATTTTATTAAAGAAGAATTACTACTTTAAGATTAAAGAAGAGCTGAAGATGAAGATGAAGATGAAGATAAAGATGTAGTTAAAGATGAAGATAAAAATGTAGATAAAGATGATGATAAAGATGAAGATGATGACGATGATGATGATGACGATGATGAGATCTCTAGTCTTTAATCTTAAAGTGAATCAGAAGAATAAGATGATAAAGACAAAGAATTTGATGATACGTTTAAACCAATATATATAAAAGAAAATAATTTTGATTTTTAAAAAAATGTGAATTTATAAAATTAAGGAGACAATAATTAATATAATTAACAAAATTAAACATAATATAATAATTTTTAAGAAGATAACTAAACAGATAAAGACTTCTAATTAATAAATAAAAATTTAAAAACTGAATTAAACCAA